GTTGGAATCGACGATGAAGAGAGGCGAGCCTGCTTATTGCAGCGGCCTTCGATGACCCTAGTGAGGAAAGCTTTTCGTTGAATGGTAATGCAACGATGTATCTGCCTTCCTTGGTTCGTCGGACATGGTTTCGGAAATGTTCTTCACATAGTCGTTCAGATTCCGAAAGATAAGTAGTGGCCGGTCCCTCGTCGATCTCCCAAAACCGCGCGAGGTCCTCATGCAGAGCCGTTGCGGTTGCGTGGAACGTATTTATCGCGGTTTGAGACGTTGGACTCCCCCCGATTATCCAGCCGAATCGTGTTTTTGATGCAAATGTTGATCCGGTACTAAGCAAGACATCGATCGGGGCTGGGCAATGGAATTGTGGATCGGCTAATTGGATAATTCTGGGCAATCCCAAACTCGAGGGGTCGATGGGCTCACTGGATATTTCTGGGCAATCCCAAACTCAAGGGGTCGATGTGCTCACTTGGTATGAAGGTCGATATGGCCGGCATAACAAGAAATCTCAATGATTTCTTATACTTGCCGTCCGTCGACGTGATTGTGGCCGTGGTGTATCGTTTTACCGTGGTGCTCAAATTGTCGAGAGTTCCGATCTGGACCACACATCTCCCTTGCTTTATACCGAGGGAATTCACGAGCTTGTCGGTCATGAAGTTCATGCTCGACCCAGTGTCGCGTAAGATTCGGGTTCGGATTGGTTGTGCCTGTTTGTTGAAAATCTTGATCTGTGCTGTGGCCAACAGATCATGATGCAGAGGGGTGTGGGGAGACGTGTTTGTTAGCCCGATCCCCCTTGCTGTCGTAATCTCAGACAGTCAGTTTTGTCCCGGTTGGGATTTGGACAAGGAGGTTGGGGCGGTGTTCTGAGCTGAGCGTGACTCATACGAGGCATGCTCTTTCGTATCTCTTGGAGCCGAAGATGTGTGTTTCCGTGAAGTATCGGATGTGCGCCTCGACTTGTGGGACGACCGCGACTTCGATGATCCAGATGGTGATTGTCGAGTGGAGACTCGCTTGTGTGATGAACGAATGCCCGACGACGGACCGCTCGGTGAGCGACTGCCTCCCGACGACCGACCGCTCGACGATCGACCGCTCGACGACCGTGAGTCTACCTGGGTTTGTTCGCGGTGTAGATAAGTGTGGTGTTGGTGACCGCAGATGCGACACGAACTCGCTGTACGCTGTGTCGGCGAATGTCCTCTGCCTAGGCAATTTATACACAACGATGTCTTCCTCACGATCTGAAAACGTTTTGTCGCTGATTTGGCCTTGAAGATTTTACAGTGTCTGAGCTCGTGAGGTCCGTTGAAGGTCGGACACACCAACGTCCTGCTGGTTGTAGCAAAGGTTCGTCCATGCGGTATGGTTGTTCGCTGACTGTGGTGTTTGTGGGTTGACCCTTTTGATTCCATCGCTTTAGAGAGGAGTTGATTCCCGTTCGCCCGTGTTTTAAGAAAGTCTATCAGATGCTGATAGGATGGCCCTTTTTGGCGGGGCAGCGTGCGTTGCCATTTACGCAGGCTGGACGAGGGCAATTTAGACGCGAGCAATTCGATAATCACTATATCTGATGTGACGGGCTGTTTTAGGTTTTCGAGCGCCTTTAGATTCACGCTGATGGTTTCCAACAAATCCTCTAGGGCTTCTGGAGTTTCCCTTTTGATTTCCGGATTGTTGCGCATCAAATTCCAATGGCGCATGCAGATTTGGAGGGGCAATTGAATTTATCCTTCAGTGTGCCAAGCGCGATGGGAGAGTTGGCCTCTGTGAGTTCCAGTGACTGGATACTCCGTGCGGCCCGTCCAGTTATAGATGAGCGTAGATGCTGGAACTTTTGGACCTTCGTCAAACTTTCATTGCGGTCCACTGTGTGATGAGAACGTGTCGTAGAAATAGGTCCAGTTCTCGAGGGCACCATCGAATTGGGGCAGGCGGACCTCGGGAAAGGTGGTTGGCTCTGGTTTCCGGCATGTCTCACCTGTTTTTGTTGTCGACGGGGTTGTTGCTGATATTTGATCAAAGAGATCTAGGAGCCGTATATCAAGCTCCCGATGCTCTTGCGATAACGAAGCTGAACGCGCAACTTCCCTCTCATCTAACCCTTCTAACTCTTCTTGAACCGCGAGTATCCTCCTCCAATTATCATCGAACGAGTTGCGGCAAGATATTAGGAAGTTTCTGTTTGCCTTCCCAGACGCTTCGTATTCATCGAGTTCGCGCCTCATATTTGCAAGTCGACTGGCTAAGGCGCCTCGTCTCCGCCGTAACGTGCTCATTGGTTCAGCTTGGGCCATATTTGATTTTAGTAATAGGAGCGATCTTACCTTGATCAAATGGACGTTGATCTGGGATTCGGTTGCTACTCGTTACAATGCGGCGTTGGCTCGGGTGGATGCTGAGCGAAGGAGGTGCTCCTCTCCGATGGCGGTTCCTTTTGTCAGTTGACTAAGTAGTTGGAACATGGATTTCACGCGACACTGTATAGTCACTGGTCAGTGCACTTTTCGGTGGCACGAAATCCGGCTCGAATTGAACGCATTTCTGAAAGCACTTTCTTCCATAGTGCATAGTTCGTGTTTGTTCGACCAATCGCGGGGAGACGGAATCGCGAGGAGAGACGTCAACGTGAGTCG